CTGTTCTTATTGGTTCACTGAATTGTTACTGTCCCTTAAGGAAAACTTTTGAAAATGACATTTGTAAATCTTTCTCAACTATGATAAAAAAGCCTTTGTACTTTTTGCAATTAGATTTACTCAAAAATAACCTTGTAAAAGTCTGTACTTGCCTTCATTTCTAACTTTAATTTTGCTCTCTATTTTTATAAGTGTTGTAACCTAGGTAAGCCTAGAATAATCACACAAAGGTTGGTAATGAACAATAATACTTAGGACAAGAACAACACATATAAGATTTGCCAGCGATGCATAGAGGAAGTAGTCAACTGCTAGAAGTGAGTCAACAATGAATCTCCAACTGCAGACCAACATACAGTATTTACTACTGTATTTATGTGAATGGAGACATACCCATTATTGTCTGTAGGTATGCTACAACAATAAGTTTTAACTCTGTAGAATTGTCCAAGTAAATTGATATTTTTTATGTGTTGTAACAACTAATCAACCCATTTATTTCAATTGCCACATAATTTTAGTCTCACTTGTTAGTCTAGTATTACTTTTGACAAAATGAGAAAAGAACTAATCAGTCCTATAAAAGAAATGGCCATAGTAGAATTCGCGGAGACTTGCATTTGTCTCTAAACACATTAAAAAAAAAAAGAAGAGATATTATACAATGCAGTTTTTCTTTTTTTTTTCTTAACTGCTTGTGAGCTCAATCCCTGTTTTGGGCAGTGTATACTTGCACTCTGTGGAAACGGGCACATATGATATCCTTAAACATGAGCAGTGGAACGAGAGGGTCACAGGTTGAGGCTATTTCTGCTTTCTCTGCAGTTTTCAAGTCCACGGTGCCATTTCCCTTTGGGATTATATCTTCCCCCATCGAATGAAGCTCCGTTTGTGGAATATGTCGTCACTCTGGACATTGATGCATCTGGCCTGTTTAAATCTGGAGTCCTAAGCATGGCTTCTCCAGACACAGGAATATCTCTATATTATAAGATCCATCCTTTCAGTTTACACACTCTACTTTGCTGTGTTGATATATTTGATATATTATTCTCTGCATAGGACATACATGTATATATGTATATATATAGTTATGTATATGTCTTAGTGATATAAAAGTCTCTCTAAGAACAAAGCATGTTTTTCATTCCTTTTCCTTTTAGCCATTCCATTTTGTCTGTGAATTATGGATGCCCATAATGGGGGAAATACAAATGGGAGAATATGTCTTTCTACCATAGATTTTTTTCTGTGACATTACCAATATATATATATATATATATATACACACACACACACACACATACATACAGATGGGGAGAATATGTTTTCTACTATAGCTCTTTTTTGTTACATTACCAAGATATATATATATATATATGCACACACACACACACACACACACACAGATGGTGCTATGGGTAAATTGTCGTCAGTTTATATTTTTAATTTCATGCATGAGTGTTATTTGATCTTGATTTTTGTCAACTGCACAGTCAGTATAGTAGGGTCAGTTGGAGCACCATGACACAATTCACTCTCCCAGAAATTTGGAAATGGCATGTTGTACTGGAAGCTCCAAAATGAACTTTTCAGAGTGTTTAGGTGTTAATCTGAGAACAGTACAGAGGATTTGGAAAGAATTGGATGATGAGTCTAGTAGTGATTACGAAGGTTTGGCAGTTTGGAAAACTCGTTCTGATCATTCTGATAAGCACAAATCTTCTGAATTTGTTGGTGAGGATCTCAGATTTAACACAGCGGTCTACATCAAGTGCCTTTAGTAGGTAGATTTACCCTGGATCAAGAGGGTGGCTCCTGGAAGACTTTATATCTGGCAACAGGACTCGGCACCATGCCACATAAGCAGGAGAACCTATTCATGTCTGTCAGATAATTTTTGTGACCACATCACCCCTTACATCTGGCCACTTAACTTCCCAGATTGCAATCCTCTTGATTATTATGTGTGGGGTGCAGTTGAGCGAGAGACCAAGAAAACTCCTTGTAATACCAAATATGAACTGAAGGCAAGGATTATGGCAGCATTCAACAACTTAAACAAGGAGACCATCCAGAAGAGTAGCAGGAGATTCAGAAGTCATCTAAAGGCTGTGGTTGAAGCCAATAGTGATTTTATTGAATAAATTTACTCTTTAGTATTTTTGTGTAATTTTGGTAAATACATCTGTTAAAATGAGATGGCCAGTGTTATTTTCATTTTTATGTAATTTAGATGACAATTCATCCATTGCACATGAAGATCTCCTTTGTATGGCTAGTATGGAAATAAATACTGTATGGGAGCCATTAATAAATAAAAATGACAGTAAGACTTTAACAGCAGCAGCAACAACAGTAAGAAAAAAGAATCCTTGGTGAATGCAGTCAACAGTGACAGCATCATTAGCAGCATATGTTAAGGATCAGTGTTCTAAGTTCAGGATTGTACCTAGCAGGTTAGTAATTAAGAGTTCAATCCTTGGTGTAGGTAGTGCAAATTTAAACTCAGTAAAAAAAACAAAAAAACAAAAAAAACAAAAAAACAAAATGGGTGAGAGCAATAATTGAGTAGAACTAAATAAGAACAGGGTAAGATATCCCTAGATGGGTAGTGGAACAGGAGCAATCTACCCCAGTCGATTAAATTAATGGCTCAGTTTGAAATTCTCTGAAGATTATCTGGTTCAACATACATCTGGAGAAGTCCAGAGGTCACAATAGACGAAATGTAATAATAACAGCAAAGAAGAGGACATTACTCCAAATGTAAATAAAACCAATCTTGTTGAAGATGTGTATCTGTAACTTTGAAAGATTTTGAAACTTCAGTCATTGAGGAAGGAGTTAAAGGTTACATTAGGTTACTAATTTCTATTGTTCTGCACAAAAATGGTTTTGAAAGGCTTCAAAAATATGTCCTTTTGTGAATATCAGTCATTAGTGTCTCAACATGTGTTGGAAGATATTGTCATATAAAAGTAAAAATATTTGGCCCAAAAAACAAAACTTGTAGCATGACCTAGTTCATTATCTACAAAGGTGTTAGTGTGAAAGTGAATTCAACCAGAATTTGAACTCAGCATGCCAAATTCTCATTCCAGGCTGCTAACCATTACACTATCCACACAACCTAAAACACACATTATAATCATCAGTATTATAATAGCTAAGCTATGTCATCAAAGATTTGTGAGCTTCTTCCACATCTGTTCTAGATTGTCCGATGGTTTGTGAAGCTTATATAGAAAAGGCATGTCTTTTGACTTCACTTCGCTAGAGGCTTTGGTAGCTGGCAGTGACCTAGATCTTTCTGAGCAACTTTCTGTCTCTTTCTCACTCTCTTTTTTTTTTCTAGCTTTATTCTGTAAGTGAGAGTGCTTGATAAATCTTGCATCTGCATGGAGCACTGTCAGAGACCTTTGTTTCCAACTGGTTGAATCCACAGGAGATGAGTGTCCACTTTATGTTCATATCGAGATGTTTACATATGGCTATCATGCATGGCGGCAAACTTGTTCAGAAATATCTAAATTGTCAGCTGTATACAACTGCTGTCTCAGACTGGTGATTAAAAATGGTTTCAAGTAAATAAAGCCTGTGGATCCTAGCAAGGACCATTTCTCTCCCATGTGTTGACACCGCAGAATCACAAACAAAGTATTGCACTAAATAAAAGAAATCATTTCACTCAAGGATTTTCATCAGCAGCAGCTCAAGTAGCCCAAGGACAAAATAATGATGACATCAACATATTGACATTCCACACTACTTTGAAAAAAAGATTAGGAAGGAAACCCCCTATCAATACTGGAAAGAGCAATAACATTTACTGGACTTGAGAAATAAATTTTCCTGAAAAATTGTTTCGATTAATTTTTTTTTTTTTAAAGGTTTTATAGTGAAGAAAACGGCGACTTACCTCATCGGACCAAGCAACAGTGCATCATGTGTATCCTACAACGGAAAATGTGGTGAAAAAGAAAATTACTTACCAAAAAAAAAAAAGGGCACATATTCTGCATGACATGCTGAAGACAGAATATTTAAATTAAAAACAAGTCTGTCGCAGAAGTCGCTATAAAAGTATTTTGATATGCAAAAATTGAGCGTCCCCTCCCAGCTGTTGACGAATGGAAAAAATGCTCTGCCGATAAAAGTTGGTGTTCTCGAATTGGGGGAGAAATTTGGGTATTTTGGCTACCACGTTTGTCGGAGAGCGAGTCATTTTTCTGACTGGTTGCATGCATTGTGATTTGTGAGATAGTACCTGCGAATCGAGTTTTCGGCATTTCTTTCTGTCCCCGATGTTCGAGTCTGAACTTAGTGATTTATTCTCTGCGCTGTGGAAGTAATCTACGACAAGTATTTCCTTTGCAATCCCAGATCGCTTACAGGTTTATCAACTCTTGGCAGGTTATTTAAAGCCAGAAAATATTTTTAGATTGTAAGAATTTGTTTGTTTGTTCTTGGAGATAAAGATTTAGTTATAAAAAATCATAGCTGGTGGAGAAGCCAAATTTGATAAACAAGAAGTTATAGTATGGATATAAAGTGGGGGATCAATCCTATATTACAATTAACATATAAACTGATCCCTCACCTTATGGCCACTGTAATTTCTATACATTTGTTTTCCAGAGAATGTAAATAAATCTAAAAGCCATACATGAGTAGCTAATCAGTATTTGACCAATTCATTGATTCGTTTTTTTTTTTTTTTACTGCTTATCAACCCTTTGCAGGTTATTTAAAGTCAGGAAATATTTTTAGATTGCTAGAATTTTTTTAATTTTATTTTATTTTTTTTAAGATAATGATTTAGTGATACAAGTTTTACTAATTAGTCTACAGCTTGGGGGGGGGGGAGAGGTTGGATTCATACCTTTCCCAAGGGTATTTGCGTGTAAGTGAATATAACAAACCCAACTGGAATTGGAACTTGGCACTCCAATTAACAATTCCAAGCTGTTTCCCATTACATCATCTGCACATCCATGCTTACAGCATCTGGTATTTCTAAGCAGTCACCCATCTAGGTACTGACCAGGCTTGATGTTGCTTAACTCCGGTGATCGTATGGGAACCGGTGTTTCAACATATCTCTGTAAACCCGAAAAGTTGGTTTTAATAGATGTTATATTTGTTGTTTCAGCTGATGGTAGCACTGGCTGCTCGGTCAATTAATCCCTATCAATAAGTGTTTCCTGATAAGGACACATCTAATAAGTACCATTTGCATAATATTATGGTCTTTTATTATTATGATCATTTTACCTCTGTGTAATATTGGTGTTCTATTCTGTATTAACCTTTTCAGATTTTCTGACCCACTATTTCTTATCCTAACCAGATCTCGACATTTTGATTCCAATATTTACTAATGATGGCATTGCACACCATAAGAAAAACAGACGGAAAAATCAATCAAAAATTATTTGCCACCTTTTATAAATGTAGGGCAGGGTCAGATTTCTTTTCCTGTGTTAAAAACGTACCACCAGCAACCACTTTCCTCCCATCCTATTTTGACCTGTGACACCCTCTCACTCACCTCTAGATGTACCGCCCTGCCCTGCCCTTACAGTATAATTCTTAGATAATTTCATCTCTGCAGTTGAAAATGTGATTATTTGTATACACAGTCATCATTTATTTATAACTCACACTTTTTGGTTTGTGCCACAAGTTTTGCTAATTCAACTTTTTGAGATGTAGGGATGAGGTTGGACTGGGAGGCTAGACGGAAAAAAAATAGAACAAAAAAAAAAAATGAAGAAAAATACAGAATTAAAATTAGCTTTTGAAAAATAAAAAAAATGTTTTTATGTTTTTGTTTGATATTATTTGGTTTTTAGATTAAGATGGTAAATGTCTAAGAATTTTACTAATTACTCTGTTCTGCCCATCCCCACACCTGGCCGGCCTCACCTTTGTTGAATAAACCTTGTTAATGTTGTTTGGGTACTTTTTTTTGTTAATCTGGTTCCATTAATAAGTAATTTTTGTTTCTGTGTGTGTGTGTGTTTGTTTTTTTATTTTTTATTTTTTTTGTCCAGTTGTTTTTGTTGATTTGTGACTAGGACTTCCAAAACAGTCTTTTAAAAAAAATAGTTACACATATTTTAACTGAACTGATTTCTAGTCATCATCAGGTGATGAAGTCAATGACTTTACACATATCTTTAATCATTTTCTTTTTAAATATCTGATGTAGGCATTTACTCAACTTGCCATAGTCTGGCAACAGACCACATTGGAATATCAGTTTTGTGTCATTTTAACCCCAAATTGACTTTATAATTTTTGGGATAAGGAGTTATCATTATTTACATCAATTTACATTATTTAGATTTGGACTAATATCCTCTTTTTTGTTGTTGTTATCAAATTTTGGCCATTGAGTGACTGTTGATCTGGGGAATTTGAAACAGCCCTTTATTTAATCTATAGGGGTACATTGTTCTAATTCCACATGCCATGTCTCTTTCTTATTTAGTACTTATTGCTTACTCTGTTTTTCCATTGGTCAATTAAAATATTGTTTCATGAATTTGGTGGTATAGTAATTTTGAGTTCAATTCCTGGTAGCACAAACTCAGACTCAGGAGAAACTGGGTTGAACAATAACTGAGCAGTACAAAATACAAACAAGATATCCCAAGGTATAGACAGTGGAACGAAAACAATCTACCCCCATAGATTAAATAAAGAGTTCAGTTAAAAATTTCCTGAAGGTTACCTGGATCAACAAGTATCTGATGAAGGCCAGATGACACCTTGGCCGAAACGTTGTAATAATAACAACAAAGATGAGGTTAATAGTCTGAGTGTAAATAATGTAAATAACTGAAATAATGATAACTTCTCATCCCAATATAAGCTATGAAATAAAAGATGAGAATTAAAACTGCAGAGATCAAGAGTGACCGCATCAGTAGACCGTCAACATTAGGCTCGTGTAGGTTACCCAGGTCAATATACACCTGAGGAAGGCTGGAGGGAACAATGGCTAGAATGTTATGAGAACAATAGTACGGCTATAAATAGTGTAAATAATAACAAACTGATGATATTGGTAACACTTACAAATATATTTATATGAGTAAAATATGTTATGCATCTCTGATTAGAATATCTATTCTAATTAAAAATACTACTAATAAATTCTTTTGGAAAGGTTACATTTGATTATAGAAGAAAAATACAACATAAATCATTTATTTATAAATAACTAGAAGATAAAGGCAACAGAAACATTTAATGAACACAGTGTCCCATAACACGGAATAAATTATTTTATCATCATTTTACATGTTACTATGGTTTATAAAATTGTTTATAATATACTATGGGTTATAAAATATCTTTCATAATGTACTATGGATTATGAAGTATCTTTCATAATGTACTATGGATTATAAAAAGTATCTTTTATGATATACTGTGCATTATAAAATATATTTATGCTTTATAAAATCTTTTATAATACACTATAGGTTATAAAACATCTTTTATAATCCTACTCAGTTTTTCAACCTTTGATTTTATTAACTTTTTATTATTTTGATTTTAAAAGTACATGGAATTTATGTGACTTTAAGAAAATGTAGGATTTATTTTTGCTAGCTTTACAAAAATTTTAATTTACTTTTTGTTTTTCAGCCCACAAATACCTCCAGTGAGCATATCTTTTCTTTGCATCCTACAAATACCTCCACTGAATGTCTCTTTTCTTTGCAGCCCAAAAATACCTCCACTGAGTGTATCTTTACTGCACCTGCCTCTCCCGCTTCAATGTCATCCCATGACACAAACACAGAAGCTCCGTCCTCATCGACACAGCCAAGCAGTCAAATCACAGATGAAATTGCCAGTGGTTATCGGTCAGTATTAGTCAACAAAGTCACATTTCTTACTTTTTGGGTTTCAATTTTCAAACTTTTAAAATCATATTGGGTTTAAATTTTCTTATGTTTAAAATCATATTAGATTTATATTCTCAAACTTTTAAAATCATCTTGACTTTATATTTTCATATGTTTAAAATCTTATTGACTCTATATTTTTCAAAAAGAATTTGTCAGATGCATCCCTTTCTGAAGTGTAAGGCCTCCCCATCCTACCCAAATAGTCTACCCTCAGAGTGAATACTTGCAGACTTAAGTATAAAGCTAACCTATATCTATATTTTTAATGCTAGGGTAAACAGGACTTACACTTATCTATTTTTTTTTTTTTACCTCACTGTGATTATTGTTCTGTAAGACAAAAAGTTCCCAACAAGATTTGATATGTTGTTAAATTAATTAGCATAATTCTTGTAAAAAATAAAAAAAAATCTGACCACAAATTCCACAGTGCTTCTATACCATTTAAAAATAGAGCCTAAAATATTTTCTATATTTTAATAATATACAAATTTAAATATCTAACTTAAATAATTGTTTATCTACTTACAAATTTATATATTTACTCTAACGTTGTTGGTCCTGACCTGACATCTCAGCTATGGTCATTTTCCCATTGCCATAACGTAGCTTCCCTGTGCCTTTCTTTCACACTCAGTAACCCCCTTCTGGCTTTATTGCCTTGCTTGTGATGAAATGATTAAATATATATGTGTGTATATATATATATATATATATATATATATATATATATATATATATATATATATACTACAGTTCAAAAGTTTGAAGCCATCCCCAGAATTAGCATGGGATGAACTTGACAGAAGAGTGAAAAGAGAAATGAAAAAAAAAAAGCTCTTAGAGTCATTGAAAAAGAATGTAATCAATTACTAAACTTTCAGAAACGTTTGCAATGAATGTCGAAAATTTGTGGTGCAGTAATCAAGGCTAAAGGAGGATATTTTGACAAGAGCAAAATTTAATCATAAAATGCTTCTTTTTTTTTTTCCTTTTTTATCATAATAATATTTTTAATAAAACATGTTTCACTTTTTTTCTTTTTTGTCATAATAAAATTTCTAATAAAACATCATGTTTCACTTTTTTTTTAACCATGTATAATAATTTTCTCTCATTTAAAGTACAAAACAACTACTTTTGGGGCCAATTTAAAAAATTACCAGAGGTGTCCTCGAACTTTTGAACTGTAGTGTATATGCTTAATGAAATTCTTAATTTCTGATAGTCTTCATGTTTGGGATAAATGCCAAAAAGGATTTTGTTTGCTATACAAATCATTTCTTGTTAACTTAAATATAACCATTATTATTTTGTTTATACAAGAACAGGAGAAGGTTACAGTTGCATTTCCCATGTATATTTTGATGGGTTTTATTGAATTCAGGATTTTAGGAGATATTCTTTTTCAAATTTCAGAACTTGTTTGCGGTATTTCCTGCCTCCCAACTGGAAGATTGACAAGGAATCCGTGTCGAGTATGTCACTAGCTGACCTGGCTGCTTTTCCTTTGGATGACTTCTTTGATCATTATGAGAAAGGACTCAGAAAGGTAAGCAGATTTTCAAGATTTCACACCTCCCTTAACCAAAGAGTCAGCAATAATTCTATAAACCAGTTGACTTTTGAAGACTAAGTATAAAAAATACATTCCTTTGATCTACAGTCTAACCATTTGAAAACTTCAGGTGTGTTCTTTTAGAATTTTAGTTGGAATTAAATAACTTGTTTGACCATTATGTAGGTATTGAAAAAACAAATTTATAATTATTACAAGCAGTTGATCTATCAGTTTGTTTACAAGTTCCCTAAAACTTTGGGATCAAGTGCCATCATGACTCATTTGATTTAATATCTTTATCATTGTTGAATTTGTCATAATATTATGGTTAGTCAATTCTCCTGCTTTTATTATATGAATCCTGCATCTTGTAACGGTTTAAAGAACTTTAAGAATATATGTGACAAATCATGTCTCGTTTTGATTCATTATCACCTAAGGGTATTTGCATCAGTGAATGTAATGAATGCAATTGGTATTTGAACTCACGTTTTTGATTTCTCATCTGGAACCATTAACCATTATGCTACTCATACATCTGAACTTACAGCATTTGGTGTTTCCAAGGAGTCATCCATATAGGTACTGACCAGGCCCTTGACATTGCTTAATTTTGTGGTGATTACACAAGAACACAAGGTGTTTCAATGTGATATACTTGTAAGCTTCTTTTTGTTTCTCTCATGGGGAAATGCATCTTATCTCCTGTTTTTGACTCTCTCATTATGTGAACTTTAGTATACAACCTTTAGTATATAATGATCCATTATTTATGAATTTTAGTATACAACTTTTATCGTATACAATAATCTACTATTTGTGAATTTTAGTATACAACCTTTAGTATATAATGATCCACCATTTGTGAATTTTAGTATACAGCCTTTAGTATATAATGATCCACCATTTGTGAATTTTAGTATACAACCTTTAGTATATAAAAATCCACTATTTATGAACTTTAGTATACAGCCTTTAGTATATTATGATCCACTATTTGTGAATTTTAGTATGCAAACTTTAGTATACAATGATCATCTATTTGTGAACTTTAGCATACAACCTTTTGTATCTAATGATCTACTATTTGTGAATTTTAGTATACAACCTTTTTTTTGTGTAATGATGCACTATTTGAAGCTGTAATGATCTCACCATGTGATCTGCTCCCAATGTCCCATCTCATTGGATTTCGATATCTACAAATTGATGGATTGGATGCTCTTTAGATAACATTTTCCTCTATGAAATGATTATCCCATTGAAAAATTGGATTTGATCCAAATACATTTTTGATGACTTGAGTATATAAAAAATAACTTATTGTTTCTCTTTAACCAGGTTTAATTTATACCATTATTAATAATTTTAAACTCATGTTTACTTTCATCTTAATTTTTTAGTTACTTTTTAGTCCAACTTGAGTTGTCAGTCAGGACAAAGCAAACTAATTGGAAATGAAAGATAACCTTTTGATGAAAATAAGAATACTACTACTGCTACTAATACTACTATTATTGAAAAGAAAAACAAATATGGCTTTTATAAAGATTATGAAATGGAGTGATGAGTTATAGGTTAGATTTGATCTGAATTTTTAGTTTAGGCCAGTAGTTTCCAAAGTTTTTCTTCCCTAGGCTGCATTTTTGGAATGAAAATTGGCTCAACACCTCACCAAATTTCATATGATAAAAAGAACTTTTAAAAAAAAAAAAAAAAAGAGAGATGGTTAAAGGGAGATAGCACATTATTATTGATAACTCTCTCTTCCAATTTGCAGACCCTAGTTACTGTATTTTTAATACTTGATACAATGCAAAAATATTACAATGATAAAATCGATCAATAGTTATTTATAACTATTTATACTGGGACTCATGCTTGCAATTACAAGCAATCCATAATGATATTTTAAATTTTGAAATTATATTTATTTTTGGCCTATGGATTTTTTAAATCTTTGATTGTCTTTTCATCATTATGCCTCACCTGCTATCCTCTTCCACCACACCATTTGGGAAGCATTGGTTTAGGGATTAAAACAGCTGGACATCTATCTAGGTTTTATGACACATAAAAGACTATGGGTTAAATCTCACTGGGAGTTTATTTTTTTATTTTTGATTGCATTATCTACTCACTGTTGTAGCCTGAGTAAATTTATGATAAATAATCAGCTATTCAGATGAAAGTAAATACTCGTCAAATATTAATAATATTTAAAAATCTATCTTTTATAAATTTGCGTTAAGTCTAAATTTTGTCTGTGTCCCCACCTTACATCAGTAGAACAAAACTCTGCTTTGTTAACATATAAATGATTATATTATTATTAGACTTTTACAAATATATTACTAATTGCATTTACAAAATGAATAACATTTAATTTACATAACAATTTCTAAAAGCATATTTAAATAAATATTTAATCTGTATTTAGTTTTAATTCAGATTTTAACATTCCCATATACAAGGTCTGATCAAAAAGTATAATTTATATTATTAAACCGGTACTATAAAAAGAAAACTACAACACATATCAATTCAGCATTTAATCTCCTTCAAAGTAGTTTCCTTCTGAAGCCACACACTTTATTCAGCGTTTGTTTCATTGATAGAAGCATTTCTAGAACTCCTTTTTTGGAGTAATGAGCAGCTACCTCGTGGCATTTTCTTGGATTTCCTCAGTGTCTTGAAATCTTGTTCCATTCAAGTGGGATTTTATTTTTGAAGAAGAAAAAGTTGTCAGGTATATCTGGGAAATATAGTGATTGTTGGACATGAGAAATTTTGTTCTTGGCCCAAAACTGTTGCACAAGTCATGGTCACTGATGGAATGTCTGTGGTGTAGCGAGATGACCACACTCTACACACTTTCCTTCCAAGCACTGATATAAACAAAGAAAGTGAGCAAGAATCTTATAACTTGTGTGTATGTGTGACAGAAATCAAGGTCAGTCTTTGCTAAGCAACTTCACTCTGTGTACTTTAGCTCTATTACTATAGTAACAGGCTTGATACTTTTTGATTAGACCTTGGATAAACAATTTTTCTCTTGATAAAGTTTTAAAAATTTTTTTAATTCATTATGTTCGTATAGAAAGAATTTATATCTGCCTTGTTAAAATTCAGTCATAAGAAAAATATCCATGTTTACATTTAAATAAAATGTAAAATAAATGTAACCTTGACTATTAAGAATGATTTTTTTTTTCTAGAAGTGTGCATAAAGTAAATAATTTTTTGCAGTATTAAATTTTTTTTTATAGAATTCCATAATTTTAGGTCTGGCAACATTATTTACAATCTTATTTCCTGTAGGGTTAATAATAACCATTGTTGTCTGACATTTTATATTACTACAGATTAGTTGAGCGAAACCAAAAAAAATTTCATGGAAATAAGTCAAAATAATCTGTTTAGTTTTCTTAAAACTGTACCAGATTATTTGAACAAGTGAAAAAAAAAATAATAGTTTGCTAAATTATTAATAATAATAAAGAAAGCTGCAGGGCATTATATCTGAAAGGTTGGGATATTAACAACAAGAGTCCAAGTGTAAATAACAATAACTCCTTATTTCAGAAATTCAGACAGAAAACAAATTACTTCTACTAAAACTGACAAATATTAATGAAGTGTATTTTATAAGTTTGCATAAAGCTAAATTTAGTCTGTGTGTCCTTACCTTACATCATTAGAACAAATCAGTTCAGCTCATACCACTGACATATAATCATTTTGCTATCAGTCTTGTAAATACCATTTATTAGTAATATATATAAATATATTGCTAACAAATGGCGTTTATATTTGCTTTGTCAAAATTCAGTTGTAAGTTAGAAAACTTAAGCATTGTTATCATCTGATATTTCACACCACTACAAATTCGTTGAACAGAATTGAAAAAAATTTTATGGAATTATGTAACTAAGTCAAAATAATTTGTTTAATTTTAAAAATTATCATATATAAAGGATGTTTGTCAATTTTTTAAAAAAAATTCATCATGTTTGTATAAAAAAAAATTGATTTGCGACAGTTCAGTCATAAGTGAAAAAACCTACAATATTTATAATAAGCATTGTTATCATCTGTTATTTTTTCTTCCTACATATTAGTTGAACAAAGCTGAAAAAAATATGCAATTATCTAAATAAGTCAAAATAACCTGTTTAATTAGATTTTCTTAAAACTGTAGAGAATTAATTAAACAAGTGAAAAATAGTAAGTTTTGTCGAATTAATATTTGTTACTATTATTAATATAAATATTAGAAAATGATTTAATGTCTTTCACAGGTTCAGCTTTATGTAACTATATCAAAAATTCAAGTTGACTTAGTATAATAACAAAAAAGACTTTACAAAATGTTGTTTATACAGATATTTTATTGAGTTAAAACTCCTATTACAACTTTTACAAATTTTTCAAAGTATTTATCTTAGCATAGTAGGAGAAATACAAAAAATAGGATTTTCTTGGATTCCATCTGTTTTGTGTAAAAGATATCATAAGTTTGCCAGATGGTTGTAACTAAATTTCATTAATTTTTTTTTTTTTTTTTTAAAAAAAAGTATATTTTCATTACTGTGACCATGGAGGGGGGGTATATTTTCATTACTGTGACCATGACAATTTATGTCTGGTTACTCTACAAGTGTTGTTGGTACCATGTAACTCAGTACTATTTGCTACATTGTTGGGTCATTGGTTACTAAACCAGTTCACCATCCAAGCCTTTTCTGGTATGAAGGGTGGTTAGACACCCAACAGGGTTCAAAATATTCTTTTTGTAGGGTCAATGGCCATCTAGCCCAATGAGGTAGTGATGATCTGGTATTGCTGGGTGTAGATTTGGGGGCAGGTTGTTCCCCAATGAAATCAACAGCCACACCTCCATGACAAAAGCAAGCCTTCACGTTGAAGGACATTGGCTGTAGTTTGACCTGGAGAGGGATGGGCTTCGTCAGGTCATTGGACTGATGATGACGACTTTGACAATATGGGATATTTTTGAAATGTTATTTTAATATTTTGATTGGGGGTGGGGAATCATTTAGGATTACTTTGTACCGCAGTGTTTGATCTTGATTTAATAACTCGGAGCTCTTGCTGTTTCAATCCAGAATTAATTAGATGAGTTGTCAGTTCAGGTCAGTTAATCTGAAAGGCTAATTTCAGTTTCTTTCTTCTCAAGAAATTGAATTATATGATTGTGCAAGTTTAATGCCCAGCTTCTCTATCAGAAAAAGTCACTCAACTTGAATGATAAATTGATAACATCACTAGAATTAGTATCAGCAGAGAAACATGTATGTATTTTCTCTATTGATGTAATCGATAATTATTTCAGTTGCTTAGTTATTTTATTCTTTATTCTCTTCTTAAAGTGTATGTTTAGAAAATTTACTTCTATTTATGAAAGAAAACTAGAATTTCTTAATTGCAAAATAATCCCTACTTACTCTATACCCAACATACAGTGTGTGTAGATGTTTTTTGATTTACAAATTAAAAGTTTTTTTTTAATATTTTTTCCTCTTTGCATTAAAGTTATTTTTTCATCCCACGATAAGTTAAAAAAGATTATTTTTCTTTTTCATCCCACTCAATTAAAAATCTCTTTTCTTTATCCCACTATAATAAAATACTCTTTTCTTTATCCTATTCTATTAAAAAAAACTCTTTTCTTTATCCCACTATAATAAAAGACTCTTTTCTTTATCCCACTATAATAAAAGACTCTTTTCTTTATCCCACTATAATAAAAGACTCTTTTCTTTATCCCACTATAATAAAAGACTCTTTTCTTTATCCCACTATAATAAAAGACTCTTTTCTTTATCCTATTCTATTAAAAAAAAACTCTCTTCTTTATCCCACTATAATAAAAGACTCTTTTCTTTATCCCACTATAATAAAATACTCTTTTCTTTATCCTATTCTATTAAAAAAAACTCTTTTTTTATTCCACTTTGTTAGAATTTGAGTTGAATCCACTACATTCACTTACATGGTAGTACCCTTGGGAAAGGTATGAATCCCCTTCTTCTCCATCCCCCCAGCTATGGGTAAATAGCAGGACAGAATGGGTTCTCTAGCCTTGGATGTCAACTGGTCTACTACAGAAAGAAATGGCCAGCTACTGCAGAAAAAAATCTGCCTCGTTAGTCATATATCAAAAGTTACATTATTGCCTAAGCATGTATCATGCATGGCATATAACTGACTGTTAAAAAACAATGTTTTTTGTTATTCCACTATACAGGAATCCCTTGATTAATATGCATTGGATTAATGCATTTTCAATTTGTGTGCTAAAATTGTTATATATGAAAATCCGATTAGTGCATACATAATGATTAGTGCGGTAAAATATTCTTCAGTTTAACCATGGTAATTGAAAATTAATTTTTTTTATAGTTACTGATTATTTAAAAATTTTCTAAAATTTGAAACTGGAAAAATTTAACCCATTTGTTGGTCAAGTATTATGTTATCTAAATAATTATTATGCTATTTAAATAATTATTATGCTATCTAAGTAATTACAGTAGTGTTAAAAAAATGGATGGTTATAAATAAATAAATTTTATAATATAAGCTGATAATCAAAATACATATCTGAATATTTGTCTCTATTAAAATTTTTTGAATATTTTGATTTTTTTTCATGTTTATTTTGAAGGTCTTGAAAAGAAATTTCTGATTTTTTGTTAAAAAAAAGGGACAATTTAATTAGATACAGAAATTTACTTTTATTAAAAAATATCAAAATATAAAAGATGTATGCATTTACTATGAAAAGATTATAAATAATATTTTCAAGTTAAAATACGAATACTTATGATATGTTTGGAAAATTTGAAGGGACAATTTTTCAGTACTGCCAATTATATGAAGAATACCATGCAGCAAACCAATCTAAATAAGCTTTTCATAAAAAATCAGATTAATAAACATTAATTCATAGTATTTTTATTGTATCTTCTTATATGTGCCTATATTTTAGTTAAAAAGTATGCAAATTGGAAATTAATTGTGAATGAAACTAGAATTTGAGGTACAAATTACATCATTTCCTATAAGTTATTATATTTGATTAATGCATTTTTGATTAGTGTGTATCTTTTAATGTACACAATAGCCCCACTAATCAAGAGATTCCTGTATTAAAATACTTTTTTATTCCATTCTATTAAAAAGCATTTTTTATCCTACTATATTAAACTACCTACTATATTAAAATACTTTTATACCCCACTCTATTAAAATTCTTTTTTATCCCACTACATTAAAAAACTCTTTTTTTATTTCACTATATTAAAATACTCTTTTTTATCCCATTATATGAAAATCCGCTTTTTTTATCCCATTCTTTTAAAATACTCTTGTTGTTATCCCATTCTATTAAAATACTCGTTTTTATCCCACTCTGTTAAAAAACATTTTTTATCCCACTATATTAAAAATTCTTCTTTTATCCCACTATATTAAAAAAAATTTCATCATCTATAAATTCAAAAAAATGTTTTGATTTCACTATATTAAAAAATTCTTTTTTTGTCTAATTATGTTAAAAAAAATGCTTTTTTTTTATTCCTATTATGTTAAAACTTTTTTTTTTCATCTTTATTAAAAAAAAATGTTTTTATTTCCAACTCACTATATTAAAAAACTTTTATATTCTTTTTTTCATTATAAGTTGGTTGGTAAGTTCCAAACAGAAGCAGCTCTCAAAAATGAAGAAGCCGACAACTACAAGATGAAAGTGACGTCTTTACGTAAACTTGTTGTTCAGTTGCTCAGAAGAACTAATAAGGTGAGTGGATAAAAAGACTTTTTGTTTTTCTTTTTGGGGGAGGGTAGCAAATTCTTTTCTTTTTTTGTTCCCCCTCCCTTTTTTTTCTCCATTCTTCCACACTTTTTTCTTTGTCTTTCTTCATTTTCTTTTTCGACATTTCAATCAGAAGTGCTAAAAACTTTGACTAAAATTGTACACCAGTTGCCTTGTGTATCTAATTTTGTCAGTATCAACAGCTGCTCTCTTTTCTCCAGGGAACTCAATGCTAATGCTCCGGGTCACCCTTGGGCAAGGTGTAACACATATCGCTTTCTCAATAGCACAGCTAACCCTTTAGTGGCATCATACTGAGTATGTTGAATTATAGAAATGAAGCGAGAGGAAAAGAGAAGAAATATACTTTAAAAAACAAACAATTTTTCTGTTTTTATAATTATTATTATACTGGAAATTTTTGATAGAATTCCTCAAAGAATGGTGAATTTTTAAAATATATTTTATAGCTTCAGTTTAATAAAAGTTTTGAACTGGTTAGGGGAGATAGGTGCAACCTCATTTGGCAATCCCAAGGATGGTGAGATCCTACTCAGTGTAGGTGTATGGGCATAAATGCAAAAATATATATATATATATATATATATATATGAATTACTTTTGTCAAATTTTCTTGATTACACAGCGGCCCTTTTATAAATGCCCTTCGGTTTTAGTTCCCCCCATCCCATCTCTCTCCCCCCACTCATTTTTCTTTTCTTTTCCTCTCCCTCTCTCATCTTCTGATCTTTAAGATTATGTCATCACAAAATGTATACTCTTTTCCGGTAAATCTTTAATGTATTAGACATCCGAGAATATTCATATTTCTCTCACTTAAACTGTCTTTGACTCTCCTCTTCAAAACTTCTCTCTGTTAAATTTTAATCCCCCCCTTCATCTTTAGACCTTCCTGTTCTTCTCTCGTCTGTTACCCCTCCCTATAGCTTTCATTTACTCTAACATTCGTCCCACACTCTCATACATACATTCTCACTAAATTTTATTTTTTATTCTCTGAGTTGTTTTTTCTGTTTTCTTTTTGAATTTGTGGGTCTGATGAATTAGATCGTATTTACGATTCCAATGGAATAAATTATGACCATGGAATATTAGTGTTTAAGCCTTTTTATATATATATATATATATAGGCGATGATAAGAGTTACTTACCATCACCTGAAGAAGTACAATCAAAGTATTGAAACATGAAAGCTTTTCTGTAGCGATTTCAACATGTTTTTATTATAAGAGATTATAATAAAAATTATATATATATATATATATATATATATATATATATAGCGGGTCTTAAATGCCACTTAAGATTATCGCACAAAATTTCATAACTGAATCAACTAAGCTGTCAGATCTTCATACGTCAAAACCGACGGGAGAGTCCGTTATTATTATATATATTAATAATAATTTTTTAGAAAAATAATTTACATTGCTACACAAAAACATTCATGTTTTGGCACAGATTATTTTTCTATTTATTATTTTTATTAATATACATTTTGCTCTGCATATTTTAAAATCTTCTCGGAATCGAAATTATGATCTGCTTTTCGATTTTGATTCCGTGAAGATTTTAAAATATTTTCATCATAAAAATCTTAGGCGGATTTATGAAGCAGGCATAATATCCATCTCACGCACGGTGAATACTAGACCTGGCTTCTTTAATATTTCCCCTTTTCTAGCGAGATTAATACTCGACAAGTGTACATATAAATTTTAGTTCAAAATAGAATTCTTTTCATTCTTCATTCAAAATACTCAAAATTTTAGGAATACGTTTTCACAGTATTGCCCACGTGACGACAACGTGACCATGTTTTAAACGGAGCACTGATCTTATAAAACTTTCAGTTATTTGTTTGGATAAGTCTTGTTCTTATGTACATCGTCTTTGTCATGTTGTATTGATAATATTTATGAATATGTCCTGAAGATGGTTTATTAGACCAAAACGTCCGACGTTGACATATTAACATTAAAACAGCATAATTGTATATAAGGATTTTTGTTTGTTTTTTCTGTATATATTTTTCTTCTATATATATATATATATATATATATATATATATATTAATTAAATATTACTTAATATATATATATATATATATATATATATTATTTAAATATTATTTTAAGGGATACTCTTATTTGAGTAGACACTCCATTTATTTATTAAAAAGTATATTTATTTATTTTTGTCTACAAGCCTGAATATTTTATTTGAAAAATCTTATTAGAAAAAAATATGTGTTCTCCACCATGATAATTTTTTCTAATAAGATTTCTTATATACAGGCTGATAGACAAAAATAAAGATACTGTTTAATAAATAAATAGAGTGTCTACTCAAATATAAGTATTCACTAAAAATAAATAAGAAATCCATCTCAACTTTCCTTACAAATTCATATATATATATATATATATATATATATATATATATATATATAAATAATACTTAGACTGAGTAAATGTTTTATGTTTATCTATTTAAATAATACAAGGTTATTATGAATTTAACCATTTTCTTTTAATTTAACATTTTTATAGTCATGTATATTGGCTTGGAAAAGTAGTAATTCTTTCAAGAATAGAGATATTTGAAAAAAATCTGGGGTGTAGATTTATATTTTGGTAAGATTTGATAGCGGCACTTTCAAGAATTTTCCATCTAAGTAAGTTACTTTCTCTTTTAATAAGTGTGGCATTCTTTAGATATAAGTTGTGGTTGAACTTATTCCTATGTATAACTAATGCATTTGATAAATGCATCACCAATATTGAGTACTTCCCTTATAAATATAGTAAGTTTTAAACAATATAGAGTAATCAGTAGAAATACCTCCCACCACATAATGGTAAGAGATTAGCTTGGTGAAGAGACTATTGCCAGTAATGTCTTGTGGGAGGTATTTTTGCCACACCTATATATGAATGAAAGTGAGAAAAATAAACTTGTTTTGTATTTTTAAATTTGATTTCTTTGTGTAGAATTTTTGCTTTTATGTATAGTATTTTTTAAAATAATTTCCTTGTTGTTTCTAAGCCACTACTAGGAGATGCTGTCAAAAATAAAAATAAAGACATATAATGCAAATACTAACCAAGATCTGATTGCTGAAATCCGTTACATTTTTCTAAAATTTATCTGCGCTCAATTCGGGCTGATTTCGTTTTGTTCTTTTCTATCTGCTAATCTGTCTTTGTAACAAAAAACGAAAAACAGGAAAACAAAAAACTTGAACAAGATTGTGATGAAATTTGTTTTAGCTTTAACTATGTTCGATTTAAAGTAAAAGTTTTAGTCCTAGCACAGTCTTTATTTTTTTTCTTTACTCCATCTTCTGCTCCCACCCAGTTAGTTTTTATCATCTTCATCCTTTTTGAAAATAAGACAAAACCAATACCCCCCCCCACCCTTATCCTCTTTTGTCTCCTCATTCTCTCAGGAGTGGACGTTATCTGCCTACTTAATCACCAAATTAAAACATTTGCATATTTTTCACTGAAAATAAGATTAAAGATAGCATCATTTTTTTTTTTGTCTTTTAATTTTATTCTTGGTGTTGTCTGAAAATTGAAAGAAGATGGCAGCAGAAAGAAAAGAAAAGAAAAAGACAAATAAATAGCAAAGAAGAGACATTGATTTTCTCAGGAACGTTTGTTACTTACCGAGGAAATGTTTCTGTTAGGCAAAAAGGAAGCCCCATTAATTGATGAGCCCTTTTGTAAATGTAGTGAGAATATAATACAAGAGTTGATTAGATGTTGAAATTAAAATGGAATCTAAGTAAATAATAAGTGACACAGTAGATATCTGCAAGCAAAAGATAACTGAGTCGAGGGTATATACAGTTTAAGATATATTTGGGTAGATTGAAATTGAAGAATTGCTTGCGGGATAGGGATTAGAGCAGAACGAAGATGATCTAATGTATGTGTAATGCTGGCCAGGCATACAGTGAATTAACAGATTTTCAATTTTCTCTCATTCTCCCAAGACATGAAGTTTATATTTTCAGCCTATTTCCAGTTCACACTCCTCCCTAATCTTTGAACTGTAGTAGAAGTTTTCTGTTTAAAATTGGGTTTTTGGTTTCTTTTAAAGTTTTCTTATTCCCTTTCACTCCCAGTAGCCTCTTATGTCTTAGTGGCATTATTGCCTTGCTTGGAGTGAATTGATTTAAAAAAAAAAAAATGAACTGGGTAGCACGATGCATTCCAACTTTATTGCTTGATTTATTCTGCAGGTTTTTTAAAAGTAAAAATTGGCATTAGAGATGAATATTGCATTAGATTTTAAATGATTTCTTAAATGATAAAATTAACCATTACAACTCCACACTAACTTTCAGAGTTGTATCCCTTGGATTCACATTAATTTGAGGTGTGCTAAGTTTTTGAATGCTGGGTTCATTCATAGCACTGTAACTTTTAGGGTTTTAGAGATATTGTTATAAAATTTTCAGGGTATTTGCATGAAAGGATGTAGAAAAATGTAAACTTATTTTTTTTACTGTACATATAATAAATTTTGAGAAAACTAAAAAAATAAAAATATGAAAACTAAAAAAAAAACAAAAAACAAAACAAAAAAAAAAACCCTGCCAGAATTGATGAAAACAATTCCTACTCATCACATCGTGAAAGTCTTGCATATATAAAAGGAGGGGAGGGGTCTGTTGACCAGTAAGATGAATACGAAGGTTGCTTTATCAAACCTATGAGCAAAAGCAGGGCCAAAAGTGCTTTGATTTCTTCAAAGCAAATGTTTTTCCAAGTTCTGATTTGCAAGTTGGGCTTTGCTGTGTCACCTACTTTTGTTTTCACATCGTTTGCATATCAGTTAGTTTCCACTACTATTAGTTGAATAATTTCGTCAGATAAAAAAATAGACAAAAAATGTTTATCTCACTAGCTTCTTGATCAACAAATCAGTCAGTTATGCGCCATGTGTGATACACGTTTAGGTGATCATGTATCTTTTGATACATGACTGATGAGGCAGATTTTTTTTCCCCGCAGAAGGTTGCCATTTCTTTTTGTGGTAGTCCAGTTGCCATCCAAGGCTATAGAACCTGGTCTGTCCTACTATTTACCCATAGCTTGTGGGAGAGAAGAAGAGGATTCATACCTTTTCCAAGGGTATTAGCACGTAAGTGAATGTAATGGATTTGACTGGAATTCGAACTCTGCTCTCCGATTCCTCAATCATTTCTTCACTGTGCCTCTAACACATACATCACCATTATCTTTGTGGGTAAATCTGAGAAATTCTTTTTTGTTGCTCTCTGT